AATGAATGTCCTGGGGGCAGTGGGGCGGTGGCCTCAGCCCCCTTTCCCCACAGAGCCCGAATGCACTCCTACCTCAAGCCCCCTTGATGGGGACCTGGGCGACAGAGCAAGACTGTTGTCCATAAAAAAAAAAAAAAAAAAAAAAAGCACTTCCCCATTTCCAGGTGTGAAAGAAAATGTCTACCTCAAGGCTCGCTGGCTCTGTGGGCTGTGTTGTCACTGGACCTGCCTCCCCGCCCCTCCTGCCCACAGCCCACCTGCCTCTCCCGCAGAGGGGAGGCCAGAGGTTAGGCCACCAAGGGGAACTCTTGTGGCCTACGGAAATAGAAATGGTTTGGGCAGAGAGAAAATGTGAAAGAAGCCAAAAATGAGAGGAAATTTGTTCCTTGAAGTATAAATTGTCCAAACGAGCCACCTCCCAGCACGCCGCCTGTCCCCGTCTTGTCTGTCCACTCCCATTTGAGCCAGCCCATCCTTGATGGGGATGCTCATGAGGAACCTGGGCTTGGGAGGGTGGCATCACCTGGCCGCCTGCCTCCTGTCCTGCAGGCCCGGCCCCTGGAATGTACCATGTGTGGGATGGGTGTGTGTGAGGGTGAGGGGGTGTGGGTGTCCCCCACAGAGACGCCCCAGCCTCAGGCACCCAGCCAGCCTGATCCACCCCTCGACAGGGGAGCACCCACTGTCAGCAGCCACGGCCGGAAGCTATTTTTATACAAGGTGTGTTAAGGGTTGTGTTCTTGTGACTTTTTGTTTCTCTTTTCTGTTGTATTGTTCTTTGAACTACTTAGTTAAAGAAGAAGAAAAGAAAACCAAGGAAACAAATACCTATTTTTGGTTACACTCAGAAACATTTTTTTAAATAGCAGAAGAAAAACTTTTTTTTAAAGAAAAAAATAAAATAAGTGTATTCCTTAAGAATGAGATTAGACCATAAAAGTCCCTGACCCCCAACCCTCTAGGGACACCCCCACCCTGAACTTTAGTTAATTAGCTGAAGAAGATAGAATTTGTGGTGTTTTCCTAGAAAACTAGAGCTGTGTCTGTGTGGACTTGGGGAAGGGTAGTCCCTTCCCTTCTCCCAAATGATGTGTGGATGCCCAGGGCTCCATAAAACTCCAAGGCAGTGCCCCCTCTGTTCCCAAAGCAGCTTCTCTCGGGAACCTCCCTCTTTCCCTTGGGAAGGGTGGGGCTGGGGATCACCTGGCCTGACTTGGGTTTTGTCACACTCTGCTCATTTTGACTGAATAAAAGTCCTGTTGCCAAAGTGAACCTGGAGTTTTTTGGTGGCTGTGTCAGGCCCTGGGGGAGGGGCTGGAGTGCTGGGTGGACCAGGGCCCTCATAGGCCCAGAACCTGGGATAGTAGCAGCAGACCCCACACACCACAGACCTCTGCCACACGAGGCGCAGTTCCCGAGCCCTCACCCCTCCCTGTGAGGAAGACATGCTAGTGACCGTCATCTCCATTTTATTTACTTAATGTATTTTTTTGAGACAGAGTTTTTTACTCTGTCGCCGAGGCTGGAGTGCAGTGGCACAATCTCAGCTCACCATGACCTCTGCCTCCCGGGTTCAAGTAATTCTCCTGCCTCAGCCTCCTGAGTAGCTGGGATTACAGGAATGCGCCACCACACCCAGCTAATTTTTTTATTTTTGGTAGAGACGAGGTTTCGCTATATTGGCCAGGCTGGTCTCGAACTCCCGACCTCAAGCAATCCACCCATCTCAGCCTCCCAAAGTGCTGCGATTACAGGCATGAGCCACTGTGCCTGACCGGTCATCTCCATTTTATAGTTGATGAAACCAAGAAAAGAGAGGTGAAGGAAATGTCCAAAATCCCACACAGCCAGTTGGTCAGTCTGATCCTCACACAGGATCCGAGTTTGTATCCAGGCCAGGCCGCCAGGTTCCAGGCTCTGCATTCTGACCACCGCTGCACGCCTCCTTGGCCAGCAGCGAGGAGACTGCCTGCTCAGCCCACCAAGGTTGAGCGCTCTCCAGGTGCTGGCCAGGCCGGGCTGTGTGCTTTTCATGCACTGTATATGAGGAAGGACTGGTTTCCTCCCAGTTCTGAAGTTGAGGAAACAGGCTGTGACTGAGTGATTCTCTCCAGGGCACTCAGCCAGGACTCCGACCAGGCCTCTCTGTTCTGCCATTGTCTCTCAGTCCAGGCTCCTGAAGCCAGGTGACTGGGGCTGCTACGGCTTAGACAGGTGCGAGAGAGGCTGGGCTTAATGGCAGTTATGCTGACAAAGATCTGGAGGTCTCAGCTGGCCTCAACTTAGTAAGAGGCAGCGGTATAATGCAGCTGCTGCTGAATTTCAAAGCCTGGGTTCACACCCAGGAGGCTCGGCAGACCTGGAGAGCCAGGTTCTAAACCCAGGGGCACCTTTCGAGAGGAACATACCAGGAGAGCAGTTGGTAAATTGGGTTCCCTGGCTATGGCTGGGATGAGGGGGAGCTCTCTGGAGGGCCTCACTCTCTCTGCCCACCCTCACCCAGACCAGCTCGATATTTTTTCCCATATTTTTTTCTGTCTTATTACATGTTGGACTTTTTTTTTTTTTTTTTGAGACAGAGTCTCATTTTGTCACCCAGCCTGGAGTGCAGTGGCATGATCTCGGCTCACTGCAACCTCCGCCTCCCAAGTTCAAGCAATTCTCCTGCCTCAGCCTCCCAAGTAGCTGGGATTATAGGCACCAGCCACCACACACAGGCCTCTTCTGGAAGTGCCTGGCCAGGTGCCTTCAGATGTTCTTTTAGGATCAGAACCCTACTTTCAAGTGAAATTTCATCAAGATTCCAACATGGGCTCGGCACAGTGGCTCACGCCTGTAATCCCAGCACTTTGGGAGGCCGAGGCAGGTGGATCACCTGAGGTCAGGAGTTCAAGACCAGCCTGGCCAACATGGAAAAACCCCATCTCTACCAAAAATACAAAAATTACCCAGGCGTGGTGGCGTAGGCCTGTAATCCCAGCTACTCGGGAGGCTGAGGTGGGACAATTGCTTGAACCCGGGAGGTGGAGGTTGCAGTGAGCCGAGATTACAACACTGCACTTCAGTCTGGGCAACAGAGCAAGACTCTGTCAAAAAAAAAAAAAAATCCACCAAAGTATGATCATGCAGATATATGCAAATTGTGTACAAAACCCACGGAAATATAGGCAGGGCCTGCCCTAACTATCACGAGTCTCAGCCAGGCTAGGGTAGATGACAGAGCAGGGTTCCAGTGAGGAAGGTTAGCAGAAATAGGTGTCAAAGCTGAGTGGCCTGACTGGAATCCGGGTCCTGAGATCTCAAATAGCCCAGAGGCCTCAGGCTGAAGAACCCCCTCAAATCTCACCACCCCCCACAAACTATCTTTGGACAGAAATCTGCCGCAACCAAGGCTGCAACCTGTTCCAATCATCTAATGCTCTGCAACAAACAACCCCAAACCTTTTTTTTTTTTTTTCTTTGAGACAGAGTCTTACTCTGTCACCCAGGCTGTAGTGCAGTGGCATGATTTCTGCTCATTGCAACCTCTGCCTCCCGGGTTCAAGCAATTCTCGTGCCTCAGCCTCCCGAGTAACTGGTATTACAGGCCCATGCCACCACACCGGGCTAATTTTTTGTATTTTTAGTAGAGATGGGCTTTTGCTATGTTGCCCAGGCTGGTCTCAAACTTCTGAGCTCAGACGATCTGCCCGCCTCGGCCTTCCAAAATGCTGGGATTACAGGCATAAGCCACCGCACCCGGCTTTTTTTTTTTGACCAAGTCTCACCCTGTCGCCCAGGTTGGAGTGCAGTGGCATGATCTCCACTCATTGCAAGCTCCGCCTCCCGGGTTCACGCCATTCTCCTGCCTCAGTCTCCTGAGTAGCTGGGACTACGGGTGCCCGCCACCACGCCTGGCTAATTTTTTTGTATTTTTAGTAGAGACGGGGTTTCACTGTGTTAGCTAGGATGGTCTTGATCTCCTGACCTCGTGATCTGCCCACCTCGGCCTCCCAAGGTGCTGGAATTACAGGCGTGAGCCACCGTGCCCAACCTTTTTTTTTTTTTTTTTTTTTTTTAAGAGACAGGGTCTCACTCTGTTGCCCAGACTGGAGTGCAGTCAAACCTCGGTGGTTTCACATCACATTTATTTGACTTACAAATCTGCAGCCTGGGCAGGGCTCAGGGGCAGCTGTCTCTGCTACACTCTGCATCAGCGTGGGCAGCTTGAAGCCTGGGGGCTGGGATCCTCTGAAGGCTCCCTCCCTCCCGAGTCTGGTGGCTGATGCTGGCTGTGAGCCCAGCATCTCCACGTGGCCTCTCCGTGTGGCCTGGGCTTCCTCACAGCATGGTGGCTGCGTTCCAAGGACAAGCGTCCTGAGAGAGAGAGAGCCAGGTGGAAACTGCAACATCACTTCTACGCTGGCCCGAGTGACGCATCATCACTTCTGGTATATTCAGTTCTTTAGCACAAGTCGCTAAGGCAAGCCACATTCAGGGAATTTGAGGGGAATTAGAGTCTTCTTTTCAATGGAGGGTCAAAGAATGTATGGACTGTTTTAAAATGACCACAGAGGCAGGGAGCAGTGGCTCACCCGCTGGGGAGAATTGCTTGAGCTCAGGAGGCGGAGGTAGCAGTGAGCCGAGATCATGCCACTGCACTCCAGCTTGGACTACAGAGTGAGCCTCCGCCTCAAATAAATAGGTAGGTAAATAAATAAAATGACCACAGGGCCACTCCGGAGGGACAGGTGGGGAACAAATATGAGCCAGGAGGCAGGGAGGGGAGGAAAGCTCTACCCCATGGCCCTGGGACTGTGCGTGAGGTTGCTGGGGACACAGCTGGGGGCGGCAGGAGACAGGGGGGGCCCCCAACTCCTGTGGGGACGCTGGGGCTGGACACGGAATGAGTGAGTGGGAGCAGCTAAGGCTGGGGGCCTGCCTTGAATTGAGTTAAGGCTCCAGTCAGGG